CTAAATGGGGGGAGGCAGAACATCGCCTGACCTGGCGTAGTGATTCATTCCTTGACATTTATAACATTGGACTGGTTGGCTCGGTGCCGGTCTCGGCTTATAGCCGCCAATGCGAGATTGGAATGCACCTTGACCGACCCCGTTGCCAGAGTGATTGCAGGAGCGACTGACATGTCCAACTGCAGGGAGTTGTTCAACATCAGTGGGTATTTTTTGGGGGAAGGAATATATCAGCTTGAAGACCGATTAAACGCCTTCGGACCTTTTCCCCTGTAAGCTGGGTGAGAGTGATGTGAAAGAAGAAGAAGAAGGGTCTTACATTGACCACATGTGTAGCACTTCGTCCCCCCAAAACTGCCGACGCCAGCGATCCGGTTCCCAAGCGTGGTGGCGCTTGGACAGTCCGCCGCTAGATGACCGAACCCGCCACATGTGAAACATTGTCTGCCATCTACGCCTCCCGTCCGTGGATTTGGACATGACGCCGATTCCTAAAGGGTTTTTTTAGGATTAAAAACCCGAAAGATTGAATCTCGGTCAATCGCTGGATCAGATCGGATTGGAAAGAAAGGACACGATCGAGGACGCGTGCCAAGATTTCCTTTAAATTGAAGATTAATGGACTTGGATAAAAAAACACCAACATGACCAGATTGCTTGCAATTGTAACACAGTCGACTTTCGGCAGGACATTGTTCGGCCAGATGACCAAGTGCGCCGCCTGAGTCGAAGATATTAACATAAACAGATACAGCAGCAAAACTCGTCAATAACAATCCGGCGAGTCTCTATCTCGGTTGTAAAGACTGTTTCTTCTAACTTCATGTTTTTGGGGTGATTGAGGAGATGCTTTGGAGAAGTCGAACTGACACTTGAAGCATGCTCGGTTAGATAGTCCTGACATTGTGTACTGTAGTCACTATCGTCACTATCTCGTTCCGAGGATCAAATTCCCCGACCGGTCTTCTTCAAAAACAACCAACGAGGATCCCGATTCGTTTTATGTCTCGATTTCTTTCTTGGTGTTCTCGTTTTTTTTTTTGGTCCTATTTTCGCTCGTTTTCAATCTCCAGTCCTAATCGAAAAATCAAACAATCAATATTAGTCCACCTTTATCGCAGCATGTGTAAGCAATCTCGTACTCACGAGAATTGATTAGTTCTCAACAATCTGTACTTGATCGACTCGCTCCGGCTTTCTATGATGTGTGGGTATGCTTGATCACTGTGTTGGGTGGTAGCTCTGGACCAAGAAGAGCCGTTGTCGGTTGTGGTGTGGGCGGGGGCCTCCCTTATCTGCATCACCCCGGGCACAATTATTTTCGGAACCGCCGTACCCGAATCCTGACCCGGGTCACCCGGAGATCTCTCCCGAGTCACGACCCACGCCATCAGACCTATAGACGTACACCCCTTAGAGCAGCCTGCAACCACATTTCACACCCCTGTCTCAGCTTGAGGGGGTGGTTGGCCAAGTTGCCAAGCTGTGGGAGATGACTAGACACCTCTGCCAGTGCATTGTCATGAAAAATCCTATAGATCAACTCAAAGTTATATATGGAGACAATTGATGTTGTGCTGGTGTGTGGAAAACACAGTGAGGAGTGGCCACGCTGGGCCAGCTATGCTAACCATAGCGTTAGTCTAGCGTAGTGTAGCAAAAATCTCCTTTTTCCTAAAACTGCTTTCACTCTTCTTCCCATCAAGTCAGATTCTTCTTCCCATTGCACAAATTACCTCCAACTCTCATCAACCATTCCCATCCACTTTGCCCTTCAAATTCATTTGTTTTTCTGTCTGTTTATCTTTCTTCTTGTTGAGTTTTTGAGCTCTTGACCGGTTGAAGTTGAGGAATTTTTTGAGAAGGTGGCACAAAGAAGGCAGGGGCCCTTTTTTGGGAAAGGTTCAAGGTAAAAGAATGTAAAGAACCAGTGATTTTATTCACTTGCCACTAGCCCAGATTAAATAGACTAGGTACAAATGGTCAAAAAGTGGTCGAAAGAAAAATGAATAAAGAAAAGTATTTTGAATAAAAAATTGAGAGAAAATAGAATAAGTTCTTGGAAAATAACAAACTGCACAGTACTTCTCATTCTCTTGTAGTAAAAGCCAGATGAGCTAGTCAAGAGAAAATATTCTAAGTCACACATAACAAGAGGTGTTAATTATTGTTAACTAATTTTTAATATCAGACAATAAACCAGAAAAAGAAGAAATTAAAAACGTAGAGACAAGATTGATTGAGTTGAGCTTAATTTCTTAAGGTTCAAATTTGACTCAGAAGAGTACTCAGAAAACAACCAGAAAACAAGCAACTTGGTGAAATTAAATCAGTCTAATTTAAGGTGATAAGAAAGGATAAAGGGCAGAGAGAGAAAGATAGGGAGAATTTCAACACTTCTCTCAATCATCTTGCTCCTCATTCACTCACATTGACACCAAATTCAACTTATCTTATCTTCAATTCAACCATCCACTATACTTCTTGCACCAACCTTGTCTCTAGATCTGCTCACTTGGCTTTTGCCAATTGGGTGAAAAACTGATCAATTTTCTTCTCATCTTATCCATTTTTATATTGAATTTTCTGCCTCAATGTTCATTTCTATTCTATTCTGATCTAGTTTTTACTGTTTCTCCCTGTTTGATCTTATCTACTTCAGTCAACTTTCTACTCAGTCTGATTCAAAAAGAGAACTCTTTTTGTGGTAGGTTGAAATTCTCTTTATCATTGTTATTTTTTATCTCCACATTTTCTTATGCCTAAATTTATTTTTTCATTGTAGTTCTGGTTCTAGTTTCAGTAATCAAGGCTGTTTTTTTGTCAGTATTTCAGCATGATGATCTGGGCTTATGAAGAAAGACCTTTTGCCCCAATTGTACTCTTCTTTGGGACACAGAAATTATCCAAAAATTGTTTGTTTTTGTGTTTCTATTCCATGAGGGTTTGTTGTTTTTTTTCAGGAGTAGGAGCTGAGTAAAGCTGCAGATTTACTAGTAGCAATGCACAAGTAATTTGAATGAAATTGTGTTGTAAATTATCACTCGTGAACAAGCTTGGGTTGCTTGACTGGTTATCAGGA